AAACACACTATCTAGTGTTTACTTGTGCCAGGGAGTGCACTAGATCCCTGCTGCCCACATGCGGCTATTTACATTAATTATGAGAAAAGAAAACACTAGCTCTTCCTTTGCAATAGTCGCATTTCAAGTGTTAAATCCCTGTCATCGAGCTGATTCTGACTCATAGCCATCCTTTAAGACAGAGTAGAACTGTCCCTGTGGGTTTTCAAGACTGTAAATCTTTATGGGAGTAGAAAGTCTCATCTTTCTCCTGTGGAGCCGCTCGTGGTTTTGAACTGCTGATTTTACAGTTAGCAGCCCAACTGATAACCCGTGGAACGTTGTAGACACAGAACATTCCCATCACTGGAGAAAGTTTCAGGTGGAGAGTGCAGTTCTGCACTGTGCTGCCCACATAGGGCCGGTGGGCCAGCAGCATCACGTATCCGCAGCACTCAGGAGCTTATTAGAACTTAAGACTCCCAGCTTCTTCCCAACTGAGGGAGAATCTCTATTTTAGCAAGATTTCTTCGTGATCCCAGTGAGCATCAAAGTCTGGGAAACACTTCTAAGCTGTGTATACACGTTTGCAATAAAATCATTGACCTCCCACAACACCCCAGTGACTAAGGAGTGGCGGTTCCGTTGGGAAGAGTCCGTTTTCGGCTCACAGCTGCTCCCTGTGACAGAGTAGCCCTGACCCATGGGACGTTTTAGGTCGTCATCTTCACAGGAGCTGATTGCCAGGCCTTCCTTCCAGATGGGGAAACTGAGGGGGGAAAGGTGCAGTGTGTCCCCATCATCCCACAGCTGCAGTGCTGGGGCTCAGCCTTCGCCGGGCTGAATCCAGAGCCCCGACATTCAACCACGGACGGGCGAGGGTTTAGCGAGGGTCCTCGGCCAGGGCTGGCCGGGTGTCCTTCTGCTGGCCCTCATCCCCTGACTTGTCACCTGGCTGGCAGAGGAGGGCATCAGCGCGGGGACGGAGCTGCGGAGCCCGTGCGAGTGCGAGAGCCTCGTGGAGTTCCAGGGCCGCACGCTGGGGGCGCTGGACACCCTGGCGCAGAACAATATCCTTTGGGGGCGGGGCGGGGAGCGGGCAGGAGGGAAGGCGAGCCACCCAGAGAGTCCCAACAACTCCCTTAACCGCTTTTGCACTGGCCCAGCTGACCGCGCGCCTGGAGGACCTGGAGAAACAGTTGACCAACCGGAAGTGAGAGCCGCGGGTGGGGGTGCCTGGGCACGGCCTGCCTGGGCACGGCCTCACGCACGGTGTCCCCTGGTGTCCCCTCGCCTGGCCCCGGGCTTGCGCTGTCGCCAGGAGGTGCTGGCGAGCTCCCGGTGCTGCGCTCGAGCTGGCCTTGCCTGGGTCAGGCTGCACTGCGGGGGACCCCAGAGATTCAGGGGTACGGATGGGGATGGGGTGGGGAGAGGACTTGTGAAGTCCGCAAGTCCTCGCCGCCTCTGCGCTAAATATTTCGTTGGATTTCCCCCTTTTTATTTTTCTTTTTTATTAAAAAAAGAAAGAAAAGAAACAAATCTGGTCTCCATGGGCCCTGTGTGGGTCTGGCTGTGGCTGGTTGGGGGAGGGGAGGCCAGACGGAGCGTGCTGGAGGCGCCCAGGAGGCGTCTTGGCGGAGAAAGGCGCTTTGTGTGGGGGCTGGACTTTGAGGGGTGTGGTGGGGGTGCAGGGAGCCAGGCATCGCTTCCCTGTCCTTGTTTATTCAGCGGAGAACAGACGCCTCCTTATGCAGCACGTGTGAAGGGAGGGGGCTCTACCGGACCCCTGGGGGTCTGAGCTGGTCTCCAAACACTCTCCTTCCCGCCCCCACCCCCTGAATCCTCTAGCGGATTTAACACTTCACTCTCTGGTCATCCCTATCTGCTGATGCCCTTACACTCCACTGAAGAGCTGCTAAAATTGGGCAGGGGCAGCAAGGTGGGGCGCTGGGGTGCGGGGAAGATGGGCCAGGACACAGGCGGTAATTGAACCCCTAAATGGAAGCGGGGCTCATAGGTCCGAGAGTTTCTTCTGGATTTTATCTCCTTTCTGCTCTAGGCAGGAAGAAAAGGTATTAGTTTGGGCTTCTGTCCTGAGGGGGCCTCGCCTGCCCAACTTGTGCCCCTCCTGGCCACCTCGCCTCCTCTCCACCAAATTCTCACCCAGGTTCCTGCTGGACACTGCATAGATGAAATGGTTTCCACCCTAGGGTGATCCTGGGCAAATTAGGACTCCGGGTTCTCACTTTAAAATGGAGATTGAAGTTGCCACCGGAAATGATTCTAAGGGCACCTGACCCAGTACATAGGAAGGTGCCTCTGTTAATGGTAACTTTTAAAAATAAGTAACTCACTGGTCAACTCATCCATTCTGTAGAACTGCAGTGGGTTTGGAATTTTTATCACTGATTTAAAATATTACAAATATTGTGACTTAAAGCAGCACAGTCGTTCCTGTACAGTTCCAGAGGTCAGGGGTTGAAAAGGGGCCGACAGGGTTGCTTTCCCTCTGGAGGGTTTAGGGGAGGGTCCTTTGCCTTCGTATGGACAAAAACAACCCCAACCCCAAACCAACCCACTGCCACCGAGTGGATTCTGAGTTGGAGTGACCCTATATGGACAGAGTAGAACTGCCTCTTTGGATTTCCAAGACTTGAAGTCTTCATGGGAGTAGTCAACCTCCTCATTCTCGCAAAGGCTGGTGGGTTTGAACCTATGAGTTCTCGGTTAGCAGCTCAATGCCGAGCCCACTATATCACCAGTGCTCCTTTCCTGTGTGTGCCCAGTACGAACAAGCGCACTGCCATCAAGTCAGTGCTGACTCACGGCGAGTCCTTGTGGATTTCTGGGACTTGTCCACTGTATAGAAGTAGAAAGCCCCGTCTTTCTCCCTTGGAGCTACTGGTGGTTTTGAACTGCCAACTATGTAGATCCCAGCCCAATGCTTAACCACTACACCACCAGGGTTCCTTTGGGTCCAGGCTGCCTTAATTCCATGCCTGGCGTGTGGTCCTGTGTCAATGTCTCTTCTGCTTCCATTGACCCCTGGCTCTGACGCAACTGTCTCCCCCCTTTCCTTTTTTTTGGACCGTCTCTCTCTTATAAAGGACTCCAGTGGTTATGTACTATTGGACTGGCCCAGATCCTCTGTCCATCTCAAGATCCTTCACTTAATCTCAGCATCGAAGCCCCTTTGGACATGTGATACGCCCACAGGTTCCATGAGCATCGTTGGGAGTCCAGTATTCTGTCAACCACACGGTTTAAAGCCAGAGGACCGGCTGCAGTGCAGGCCCTTGGTGTCTTGCGTGTGGAAGGCAGGGAAGCAGGGGGAAATGCAAGGGAGACCTTTGAGCCAAATCCTAACCCCAGCACGGCTTCTGAGTGGATTCCATCAGACTCAGAGCCACCCGACAAGAGTTGAACGGCTCCCTGGGTTTCCCAGGCTGTAAATCGTTCCCGAAGCAGACAGCCCTCATCTTGTTCTGATCAATGCTGCTGGGTTCTGGATGCCAACCATTCAGCTAGCAGCTTGATACTTCACCTACTGTGCCACAAGGTGTCATTAGGGGAGAGTTTATGGCAGAGTGAAACAAGACTGTGTGTGCTCAAGGGGGACTGGAGGGTGGGGGACTAGGATGGTCAGATCTTAGCTGGACATGAGGCTCAGAAGAGCTGGCATGTGACCTCACTTCACCAACCCCTTCATTCTATAGTTGGGGAAACTGAGGTCAAGAGGATAGAGGTGTCTGTCCAAGGCCACACAATGAGAGAACACAGGTGCCCAGGCAGCATCCTTGGGGGGCCTGGTGGAATGGGGTCCTCCACCCTTTGTGAGCGCTGACCATGCCCACTTTCTCACCTGTTCTTTGCTTCTGCAATATCCTTAATAGCCACTAGGCAGCACTGGAACTCTGATTTGTAGCTGGTTTTCCAAGAGTCCCTACTGGCCCTTGGCATTGGCACTGGCTCTGAGGATCAGGACCTGCCCTTCTTCTTGTGCCCCTCCCCTACACACTCTTCCCCACCTGCACTGCCCAGGTGAGAAGCCTCTGCTGTCTCTGAGAATTGGCCTCACCCTCCTGGATTTCAATACTAGCACCCAGCAGCTGTGGGCGGTGGTGACAAGCTAATGGGTCCTTTGCCTGATCACTCACTACTCCTGACTCACTTTAGGACAGTCCTTGCTACTTTGTTCACATCTCCTCTCCCCCCTCTGCTTCAAAGGACAGAAGAAGACTTGGAAAGTACTTGTCAACTGAGAAAAACAAACGTCCATTGACCTAAGAACAGAAAAGAACTACCCAAGTAAAATGAGAGAAGCCTTTCGTGGCCAAGAAAGCTGAAGAAGGGCCGGTGCTGGGCACAGACTCTGGGCTGGCACCTCCAGGGGCCCATCACCAGGGATGCTGAGGCTTTAAAGCCCTGTCTCGGGGCCCAGAGGACTTCTCCTTTGCTGGGCGTGTCCTGATCCCAGGTTCTACAGGAGCAGCAAGCCTCAGGGAGCTGCTGGGGCCTCGTGCATGCTTGCTTGCCTTTGTGGTCTGACTTAGCTGTTTGAGTTAGAATTTATAATCAAATGGGCGTGCTTTTACTGTTCCTTTATCAAAGTTGGAGATTTAGATACTTTTAATGAAAATGATGTAAGAGACATTACCATACACACTTGAGTATAAGCCGAGTTTTTCAGCACATTTTTTAATGCAGTTTTTGTGGTGAAATTAGGCCCCTCGGCAGATATTTGGGTCGGCTTACTCTCGAATATATACGGTAAGTAGATTTGCAGGGAAACAAAGGAAATGAGTTAAGAGTTACAATTTTGATATCATGGTTTTCGTTTCCTTTGCGGCAAGGCTTGAAACAAATGAATGGTTTGCGATTTTAGGCCAGGGAACAGGCGTGTTTTGTTAAAGCGTAATTAGACGGGAGCTTGGGTTTGTGAGCCCCAGGGAAAAGCAAGATCAATCGTGCCATTGTGATGCCGCCCTCCGACGCACAATGACCACAACGTAAAGAATGTCTTAGCTGTTGTCCCTACCTTTGCTGCAAGATTATTAAGGGTCCTTTTCCACACCTCTTCCCTGTTTCCAGTGTGTGAGAACCCCCTCCTTTCTTTGTTCAGGGAGGCAGTTAGAGGAAGCAACCTCTGCTTCTCTGGCGTGACCCTTCCTGTTAGTAAAACTGTCTTTCTCTGCGCCAGAAGCTGGCGTAGTTCGGCTTGACTTTGGCAGCAGGCAGAGAACTGACTTTTGTGCCAACAGGGAACTCAGGTGGCAGAGTGGGGAGTGCCCTCAGTCCTCCTAGGTCCTGAACAATGAAAGAGGGACACTTTGTTCCTTATCCTTAGCAATGTGCGTGGGACCTGGACTTGATGGGGGAAGTGAAGGCCTGCAACCTCAGCCGCTCCTTCAACCTCCTTTCTGAATTCTCTCCTCTCTGCTCCTTCTCAGGAACCCCGGTGGTGCAGTGGTTACTCACTGGGCTGTGAGCCGCGTGGTTGGCAGTGTGAAACCAGCAGCAGTTCCTTGGGAGAAAGACTGGGCTTTTCGACTCCTGTCAACAGTTACAGTCTCGGAAACCCGCAGGGGATCACCATTGCCTTGCTGGCAGTGACTGAGTGAGTGAATGAGTGTCTATCTTTTCTTGAGCCCAGGTGACAGGGGTTATGCGTTGGACTGCTAACAGTAAGGCCACCTGTTTGATACCACTAGCCGCTCCTCAGAACAAAGGCTGAGCTTTCTGCTCTTGCAAAGAGTTCGTCACACAGGTAGTTTTACCCTGCCCTATAGGGTCGGAATCGAGTTGACAGCAGTGAGTTTGGTGTTAGAGTTCTCTCTCTAGGAGTCCTGATGGTGCTTGAGTTAAGCATTGGGTTTCTCACCGCAAGGTTGACAGTTCAAGTCCACCAGCTGCTCAGCAGGGGAAAGAAGAGGCTGTCTGCCCTTGTAAAGCTTTACAGTCTAGGAAGTCCTCAGGAGCAGTTCTACTCTGCCCTCTGGGTCACGAAGAGTCAGAATCCGCTAGATGGAGGTGTGTGTGTGTGTGTGTGTGTGTGTGTGTGTGTGTGTGTGTGTGTATACAAGGGCACACGTGCTCTCTGTGGCTCTTTTCTCTCCCTGTGACTTTTCCTCCCCTTGACATCATTTACAGCCCTTCCACGCTCCAGCTGGCTCAAGTTCAGTCTTCAAGGGCATTTCAGACTCAGGATAGTGAGGAGAGAGCGACAAGCAACTGGGGTCACGCCGTGACTAAGCATCCAGCTGTCCATGGAGACATCAGTGAGGGGTTGGCACCCACCAGCCACCCCACAGGAGAAAGCTGTGGCCGTTGCTTCTGCAAAGATGACAGTCTTGGAAAC